TATTTTAGGTGTTACATAATCATAGGGTCAATAACCTAAGAAGGCGTCCAATCGGTTTGTGTTCCCAGAGGCATGGCCAAAGGGTTGAGCAGAAGTTGTTGACCGCCTGTATAAGATTCAGGCAACTTCTGCCGTCCGACCGACTTGGATGAGGAATCCAGTTTGATTGTCCGTGCGAGACCCATCTGGGTTACCTTTGATGAGTGTTGTTGATTTTCATCCGACATGGGGTTAGATTTCTCCCAGCCAGCAAGAGTTGGGCAGATGTATGCAAACTCTTCGCTCCTAGTGGGCTCCAACTCGCCATTTCATCACCTCTGCTGTCTGTTGGATTTTCTTGAGATTCATGCTGACATATTTTTAATGTGCACTAACGATTTCTTACCATTACAATACAAGCTCGAAAGTCATAATATTTACATTTATTTTTCAGTCATCTGTTCTATAGGTGATCTCCCATCATCAATGTTATATATATATTCTTATTTCTTTCCTTGTAGTTTTGTTATAAGAAGTATAAAACCATACTTTGTTGGTCATTATTGTTAGTGGTGGTCGTACATACTCATATTCATAAATGTAAAAAAAAGCTAAATTTAGGTGTTAGACATGTAAATACATGGGCATTGGTGGTATGCATGTAAATGTTCCATCAGTTTAATATATCTGCTTAGTAAATTTCTTGTTGACAGAACTATTTGTTTTAAGACCTTGGAAACTGTTTTATATGAAGTTTATGTGGCCATGCGTGTGCCTCATTTGTCTGCTGTCAAATGGCAACTCCATAGTGGCTATTCATTCCACATGTTGTGTATTTCTGTAAAATAATCAATAATGTTAAGTTACTGACGTCAATCTGGACATGCTGGCTGAAATCAAAAGACAAGACAATGGACAGCCGCTTTGAGTTGTTTATCTTCATAAACATTGTTCTCATACTTGATATTAGTAATTTGGGGCTTGTGCCCATATGCCACATAATTTTTATGCATTTACGTATATAAGATCTATATTTTCATATTTATGTGCCTAACACTCAAATGTTTAATATCACACAAAAAAATATCACGTGTAGTAACTTATATACCACCCTGTTTCCATCACCAATGCCACCTCCTCCTCCTCCCCCTCATCCTCAACCCCACCTCCCACTCCATCTCCTCCACCCGCCGGAGCAGCCAATGCTACAATTTCCGGCGACTCCACCCCAGCAGCCTCCGTGTCCTCGTACTCCTCTTCAGATTCCTCATCGACAGTTGCGTAATCTTCGTCGTCTGTTTCCTCGTCGGACTCCTCGTGGTCACTCCGAGTGCTCCTCCGATTCCCCCGAGAAGCCATGGCGGGCAATTGGCGGCGAGCGACAATAAAAAAAATAATTTTTCGTGGGCATATACCTACATGTTAATATAGATTTATCACAACAAAGGTTTATCAATCACCTAAACTTTATTATCTACGTTCATAAGACTCATTTACCTCTTCAAATATAAATTTATCATAACAAAGGTATATATATATATATATATAGATATGCATGAGTTTATGATAGAAAGTTAAACTTTTGGAGGTATGCATGTAAATTTCCCTTTATCATTTCATGCTCTTGTTTGTGGTCAAAATCTAGGAGGCCAATTGGGTTTATTTTTAAGTTTTATTTATTTTGATTAGCTTTCATTAAAAATTAGGGGTATGTACATGCATACCATACAATTCTTCTATATTTACATATTTTACACAAAAAAGTTATTTTTTGTATTTATAACAACTAAATCTTCCATATCACATAAAAATTCTTGCTATTTTAACTTTTAAAAAGTGACACCTTATTATGTTTGAGAAAGGCATATGTATCAAGATTCAATTTTAAGTATTAGATAGGCAACTAGATAGGAGTTGAATGGTATGGAGCACATATTACGTCTGGACTCCAAACGTAGAGGTACGTTCGGATTTTAATAGTCGCTGTGTTATAAGAATATCCCGCTGTGTTACAGGAATATTTCATCAGCGTTATTTGTAAAAAAATGAAGTGTTATTCGAGTATTATGTGGTGTTATTCGATTACTTTGCCGTGTTATTAGAATTTTCTTCCGCTTTACTTGATTTGGGGCTGTGTTATTAAGCATATTCCCCGTGTTATTTTAATTTTCACTATGTTATTGGATCAACACAACCACAAATCAAGTAACGCGGAGGAATTTCTAATAACACATCATTTTTACGAATAACGCTGATGAAATATTCCTAAACACAACGGTATATTCCTATAACACAACGACTATTGCAATCCGAACGTAGCTCTACGTTCGGAGTCCTGACATAATATGTTTTCGAATGATATGTATGTAAATTATCCTAAAAATAAAACGTATTTGCTATGCTGAAAATAAATCAATTTACTTTTAAAAAAAATGCTCCAAATAAATTTTAATTGTGTTGGTTGTTTTTATAAATTAATTGATATGTTTTTAAAAATAAAAAATAAAAATATATTAAATATACATTAAGCAAATATATTTTAAAAAATAAAAGAAAAAAAAACAAAATTGATTTCAAATAAGCTTTAGGTTTTCTGTTTTATTTATTTATTTATTTATGAATGAGTATTTTTGTGACATATAACCTATTTGAAAACTTATTTATGTGTTACATGTTCACAATTTTGCTCGAAAATTTTTGTTGATGTCGCATTTATTATATATATAATGTTTCCTTTTTTTGTTGTCTGCTCACTTTTGGCCGCTTCGCTAAACTCAGCTATATTTTGTGCAGAATTGTAGATAATTAAGCATTTGTAGTCTTTTTTTATTCTTAAAATAAAAGAAGAAATTAACATCTTGCCATGCCTTTATGTTGATTTGCATATTATTATTATTAGTTTCATAAGCTATTCATATGCACACAATTTAGTATTAATGCTGATGCTTTAAACAGATTTGGCGCTGAAACTCAGAATAAATGATGAGTTAAGTAATGGAAATGTTAAATGTATATATATTTTTAGTTTAAATTCTTTTTTTCAAAAGTTGGATGCAAAGTTTCCTTTGATCCTCCGAAAGCTTGTTTCTTTCCGACTGACAAGTTCAAGTTGTGGAAAACTTGATCCAAATTCTTCTTTTTTCAGTCTTCAACTCTGGCATTGAGTTCAACTTCGGGCCCTATTCTCTGTAAGTCTTCATTCATAGGTAAATAAACATAGGTAAATAAAAAAAAAACTTTCCTCTTGGTGTGGTTACAGTCGAAGACTCAGGCGTAGAATGAAGAAACTCCCCAAAACATTGGCTGACATTCATTTTTGCTGCTCAAAATCTCCATCATTACATGCTGTCTTAGAAAATCACCCCATCTCAAGGATCGATCCACTAAAATTCTTGATGGCAAGACCATCATTGACAAGTTGCCTTACTCAATGAGCGATTCTGCTCTTGCAATTCGATATAACATATGTCCCTCAGAATGCAGTATAGAATTGCATATATTCATGTAATCTTATATATTTTTATACTTTACATAGAATTTCTTTCTTCTTCCACATTTTTTTATCCATTTTGGATGGAATTTGGCGGCGAGGGACTGTAAATCCTTCTACCCTTATTTGAATCTGGGAGTCGCCTAATTAGCGAAAAAAGACTTGGAATTTCTTTCTTTTAAAGAAGGAAATTGGACTACCTTGTTTGGAAAGGGAAAGGACAATGTAGTAATTGAGGAAGAGATGGAAATGATAGTTGCCGGTAATATGAGTAGAATAAAAAAGAAATCTTGTACAATCATGGTACTCACTCTTTAGATCCACTAAGGTGAAGAGGCTAAGAGTTGACTATCACCTTTCCTTATTTTCAATGTAGTAATTGAGGAAGAAGTTGATTACCTCCCATTGCTATTAAAGCATATGATTAAAAGGCTCGTGTCGTGGCATATATTACCTCATTTGTGTATACAAAAAAACTGCATAATTAACCTATACGAAGAGGGCGAGTGCATCCCACAACATATTGACAATCTTGACTTGATATTCGTAGTGTTCACAAATATTCATTTTCTAACTGAATGACTTTTTTATTCCATAACGATTCTCACATTGAACCCATAACTATTTGTATTTTATATTTAGATCGAAATCATTAGATT